TGAGTGACACCATCAGACATTTTTCCTTCTCGCTCTGGTTTATTTTGCTTGTTTTTTTTTTTCCTTTGACTCTATGGTGGTCTTTTATTATTTTGCTTGTTATAATGCCCTCTACACCCACCCAGACTTCATCTTAGAGTTCAGTTGTTAGAGTTCCATTTTACACGGAAATCTTTTCATTCACCTACCATAACTTTATTTCTTGGATATTTAGGTTATTTCCAAGTCTTGGCTATTTTAAGTGGTGCTGCATTAAACATAGGTGTGCATAGATCTTTTTTGAGTTGATGTTTTTGTATTCTTGGGCAAGAAGTAGAACCCCTTGGTCATATGATAGGTTTGCTTATTTATTTTGGGGGGGGAAGGCCACACCTGGCTGTACTCAGGGATCACTCCTGGCTGTGTTTGAGCATCATTCCTAATGGTGCTCAGGGAATCAAACCAGAATTAGCCTTTTGTCACATGTAATTGTTGTTTGTAGGTATTTTTTCCTGTTTGATAGGTGGTAATATAGTAGTTCTTTGATTAGCAGTGCAGAAACGTTTTGGTTTGCTCTAGTCCCATCCGTTTTTGCTTTTGATTTCTTTGCCAGAGGAGTCAAATCATTGAAGACTCCTCTGAAGTTGAGATGTCTTCAGTCATTCAATGATGTTTTGAAATGAAAATACATTGGCTATAGTTTCTTATACATTTTATGGGTCGGGGTCTAATATGGAGGATATTCGATCCTGTCAGTCCACTTAGATCAACCCGTTTTTAATTATATACGAATCTGGCGTGATTGTGTTTTTTTCTCCATGTGTCCCACAGTGCCCTTAGAAAGGTATTGGGAGGGCCTAGGTGGTAACTGGGGAGTGTGTTACCTGTCCACCCGCCTATGTATAGTGGTTGAGGTTGATAAACTCCCGCACCTTTATATCACTGTACCTTCCCTCTGGATTCAAGTGTGCATGACTTCTCCTCAGTGAATGCTTTGGGGGGCACAACCTGCCTTCTCGCAGAGGCTACTGGCCCAGGGCAGGTCAGACTGGATTGGCTAAATCAGGTCCATCACTGCAAGCCCTCAGATGGGTGGAGCTGTCCCAGGAATGGCGGCCCCTAGCCCCACAGCCAGTGGCAGCACATATTGCCCAACTCACATAGCTCCAGCTCAATCTTCCTGATCTCAGTCACTCACTTCCCTGTTCAGAGGGTTTGAAAATAAAAGCTGAGCATCAGAACCTTGGGTGTACAGCGAAACCTCCGTCCATTCTTCTGCTGCTTGGTTCCTCATCTGTTGGCAGCCATGGTGATCCACACTCCCCTGGTTCATATATTGGCTGCTACAGCGGGTTATACTTCTACAGTGGATCCCCTTTCCTCGAGGCGGTGGGGTGGGGGGCTGCCTGGCATCATTGATAATTGAAATGTTCGCAGTACTCTCCAAAGCTTTCGGGTCAGCTGCTGCCCTTCTTCCACTGTGGAGATCGTCCTGGAGATGGCAGCTGGGATCCTCAGTGAGCTGTCAGAGCAGAGCCCCACAGGATTCTTTGTTCCGTGTGGTCTTGAATGTGAGGTCCCAGGAGCACTCTGAGATTACTCCCTTTTCTACCATCTTGGCCCTCCTAGGTTTCTCCCTCTCTCTCTTCCCTCCCTCTCTTCCTGTCTCTCCCCTCTACTCTCTCATCCCTGGTTCTGCCAGCTGTGTAGCTCTAGATAAATGATTTCACTTCTCTGAGTTAAGGCTTTCTGGCTGCTTTTGTTTGTTTTGGGACCACACCCTGCAGTGCTGGGATGGAGGGAAAGGTCTGAAGCGGCTTCAATGTTCCAGGGACCATGCAGGTGCCAGGGATTAAACCTAGGGTTCCCACATGTGCTGCAGTCCTGATCTCTACAGCTCAGATCTCACAGGCAGATCACGGTAACACCTCACACACAGAGTTACTGATACATGTACAGAACAGAGTTAGCAGAGGGATTTTAATAAATGGCTAATAATAAAATACCTTTTATTCTAGTCTGTATTCCCCAAACCCCTTGGTTGGAGGATAAGTTGTTGCAAGTGGGGGTTCTTTGTTTTGTTCTGTGTTTTTGGCCACATCCAGCTGTAATCAGGGTTCACTCTTGGCTCTGCTCAGGAATCACTCCTGCTGGTTCTTGGAGGACCCTTTTGTGATGCTGCACATAAGTGCCTTACCCATTCTACTCTCTTTTGCACTCAACTGGAAAGTCTTTAATATTGGAAATGTCAGGGGTTTCTTCAAAAGGGCTAATGAGTAAAGCTTAAAGTCTAAGACAAAAGAAAGTGATTTGTGATATCTAGCACTTTGATTTTATGAAGTCCACCTGAAGTTTTGGGGCCAAATTACAGGAATGGAGAGCAATCAGGAAGTCAGCTGTGTTTTGTCAAATCTTGGCACTGAAGTGTACTTTTACTTTCCTACCTCTAGAATACTCTTTCACCTCTTCTTTATAAGAGGACGCAAACCATATTCACAATTCTTTTGCTGTTGTTATTTTAGGAGTTAGTTTTACATTTAGGATATTTTAAGATGTTATAATTGAGTTGATAGAATTTGTTTTTTTGTAGAATGTGTGTTTATTAAATGGGTTGATAGCTGTGGACTTTAAACATAATCAGATCATTGTGTGGGGTATATTAAACCCTGTGCTTTGAAAGGAGTGACTATGGTCATAGACCTTTGATACACTGAACACCTTCTGATTAAAAAACAAAAGTGTATTTACTTGAGATTTTATTGTACCTATATGACTTTGCATCCTGCTTTATTTTATTTGAACTTGTAGGATAACATTGGTTTGTCTTTTCTGCCTTGCCACAGGGAGCTTAGGTTTATTGGATTACTCCCATCACAGTGCTCCCATTTCTGAGATTATTTGTAACCTCTTTGTGCTCTGCTTTCCCAAGGGTTAGTCACCTTTTTCTCCTAATCAGACTCTGTTAACTTGTAAATATTGCTTTTCACTTCTCCTTAAGTTCTTTGCATAGTTAATTCCGAGCAATTTCCTTTTTGTATAGACAAAAGAAGACAGTTAATGCTATGCTTTTTGTAACTTTTGTTAATTGACTCCGAATGGTATTCATTCTGAGCATCTATTCTCTCGACTTAAGCCACAGTTGCCCTTCCTAGAACCCCAAAAGCAGGGTCCCAAGGAGGACCTGAATGGACCCAGAGCAAGTCGTGAGCTACCCTGGCAACGAAATGGGCCAGGCCAAAGTGCCACGGTACTTAACTATAAATTAAGAGTATGGTCATAAACAAATTCTGTCATGATCCAAAAAGTAACAGCTGGATTAGGACTCTGCTAGAGTTAGGAAAAATTAATCTGGCTTGAGCACTGTAGTCTGAGATCTATAGAAGAGATGTCCCCAGGAGAGCCGCCCTACAAGCTTAATGTATCTCTTACTATGTCTGTATAAAAATAACTAATATTAAGAAATAGAATTAAGATGTTAAGTTATTGGACTGAGGAGAGGAGAAACACCCCTAGGTGATATTTCCACCCCTTATCCCCCTTGAGCTAATAGACCTTCAGAGGGGCTTTTGATATGTTGGTTGAATGTGCTACTGGAAGGGATGTGGTGGCTACCCCTAATGCGGGGTAGTTGGAGAGAGACTAGAGAGAGAGACCAAGGTGGCAAGGGGAGTGCAGAGAGATGAACAGGAGAGACAGGGGGAGAAGGGAATGAGGGGCTTAGTGAGAATGGAACAGGCACACGGGGAGAATGGAATAAATGGCAACTCATCACCAACCAGCCTGGCAGCCTCATTTTCTCCTTTGTCTGCCCATGGCATTGGCCAACCCTGGGTGGGGAAGTGGTCCAAGACCACCAAACGCAGGTGGCGAGAGAGAACCACACGGGCTCCCTAGCCTCCTGGAGACTAAACAATTATTCATGTAAAAAAAAATCATAAAAGTTAAATTTTTGGTAATTCTTTGACTCATTGTTTTATCACATATTTCAGGAATCTATGGCATTAACTTATACAAGCTAAAAATTGTACTTTGCTGAAAAACTAAAATTAGTGTCACCATTATCATTTCTATGTGTTATTCTGGGAGTCAAACCTAGGGCCTCACACATGCACAGCAAGTATTCACCACTTAGCTACATCCCAACTCTCATGATAGTTTTAAGATAACCCAGTGATTAAACACTTTACTATCACTTCCTGTAAGTGTTTCTGTAATCTTGATGTCACTATTCTCCAGATTTTTTGGGGGGAGGGGGGAGGTAGTAGTATATGAGTATCTGAGGAAATATATTTCTGCATTATTTCAAGAAGGAAACACATGAACTTTGAGCAGAGGGCATAACTATGGCAGTACACATGCTCTTCCTTTTTAATTAGCGAGGCCCTGGGTCCCACAGAGCCAAGGAGGGCACCTCTGAATACTGCTCCCATATTGGCTAGCCATTTCGAACAGAACACCATTGTCACAGGTTCAGATCTGCCCAAAACTTTAAGGCCAGAACTTCAGGCTTAACTTAATGGTTCGGTTTCAGGGGTGTATCCTTCCCACCTTCAAGATACTTTAGGAAACAAATATTTTTATTTGCTTTGAGAATTTTGCAGTGTTTGTCATGATATTTTAAGTCTGAGAGCACAAGGCTAGGGTCAGTGAATAGTGGAATTGGGAACTATTACTGCATCAGCACTTTGCTGTTCGAGCAACGCCTGTGTTGAGGAGCAACTCCAGGCTGTGCTTGGGGATTGTCCTCAGACCTCCTGCATGCAAGCATGGACTCCTCCTGTTGAACTCTCTCTTGGTGCAGATACGTGTCTTTTTTGGGGTTGTTTTGTTTTGTTTTGGTGAAGAACAGGAGATCAGGTGGTAAAAAGGTAGGTGTCCAATTTAAGAAGTAAAAATCCAAAAATAGCCTTACTTCTTAGCCAGTGTGACATTTTACTAGTATAAATCAGACCCAAACAACTTTGTTTCGATTCCTGTCCTTCAAAGTTGTGTTTTATTTTCTGCTCAATTCTTTCTTTCAGCATAAAGATGCCTATCAAGTGATCCTGGATGGTGTGAAAGGTGGTACTAAGGAGAAAAGATTAGCAGCACAGTTTATTCCAAAATTCTTTAAGCATTTTCCAGAACTGGCTGATTCTGCTATCAATGCACAGTTAGACCTCTGTGAGGATGAAGATGTGTCGGTGAGTTTATGAGTGATACTTACAAAAAGCTCTCAGATGTTTCTCTTACCATTTCCACACATTTTCTGCAAGTAGCTAACAGAATTATAGTACCGGTTGCATCAGTGCACAATAAAATACTGCAGTGTGCCTAGTTTAGGGTTAAACTGACATTTGAGTAAATGCATTAGCTCTCGCATCACCTTTTAAATGTGGGAAGTAAATAGTCACAAATAAATAGGTTAAATAATCAGAGCAGGAGAGAAAGTATAGGAGTTCAGATACTTGCTTTATATGAGGCCAGCTCCGTTTCATCCCCCGCACCGCATATAGTTCTCAGACACCACTAGGGGTAACCCTTAAGGACAGAATCAGGAATATTGCTGAGTTGACCCGAAATCCACAGACACTCCCCCCCCCAAATAAAATAGTTTTAGATCATAAAATACTATTCTATCACCCCCTAAATATTTTGCATAGCAGAAGCATAACTTGTCTGTATGACTACTTGATAAGAAATCATTTTCCTTAGATCCAAATTAACCGTTAGCATTTCAGATTACTGGTACAGGCAGGTTTCTAAGAATTCTTAGCTGTCAATGCCTGGCCTTTCAGATGAAGTTAGTGGATTGCCAGCAGTTCTTGCAAAATTCGCTAGGATAGAACTCCCCATATATTTTTACATTCAGTAAGCCAGGACCATGTATTTGAATTAAGTGCTTAGGTGCATGTGACTCGGCTATGTTGTATAAGTACTAGGAATTCTAAAGTAGTTTTTGTTTTGTTTTAAAGTAAATAGTTAACTAGATAGGACATTGCCATTATAGCTGTTCTTAAAGGATACTATTATAAGCCCAAAGTTAGAATGCCAGCAGTAGAATATGATCAACATTTTCTTGTTGATCATGTAAGTCTTTATTGATTACTCAAAACTGTCTACTCCAGTTGGATAATTGTATTTAATTGTGCTTCATTCCACCCTGATAATATTCTGTGAAGACTATTAGAGCAAATTATTTTCACAACTGTTATAAGACTTTGTGCTTTATATTTTTGTAGCTTGTTTGCCCCTAATTATCACTTCTTTAGTTCAGCTTTTGTTAAAAATTAGGTTTCTTGCTTTTAGTGATGTTAGTATTTAGTTGTTTTTTCTTTTAAATCATATCCAGATTCGACGGCAAGCAATTAAGGAATTGCCTCAATTTGCCACTGGAGAAAATCTTCCCCGGGTGGCTGATATACTAACCCAACTTTTACAAACAGGTAAGGACTTTTATTTTGTAACTATAACTTTCCTCTGATATAGGTACAACTTGGATTTTTAATAGTTTTTTTCTCTCAAAGTGCTATCTTTGATGGAATTCTTTTTATTCAGTTCTAGCTTAGTGATTCATGGCTAATTCTTAGTGTTTCAGTTTTTGATGTTGTTCATGACAAGGTTCTTTGGGAAATTTTCAGACTGTTATTCTTCCGTTTACCCTAGTAACTTGCACCTTCTTAACAAAAACTCTCAGGAAAGGGGCCAGAGAGCTAGTACTGTGGGTAAGGCTCTTCTTTGCACATGGCTGACCTGGGTTCAATCTCCAGAAGCACATAAGTCCCCCCACAAAGGCTTACTCCTGGTGGTGCTTGCCGCGGGGGTGGGGGTGGGGTGATAATTTGAAAAACTGGGGATCAAACCCAGGTGCAAGGCAAGTGCCATAGTATCTATCCTGTCCCTCTGGTCCTCAAACCAGGTTCTAATATAGAAGTTATGAGACTGGATAGTTACAGGGCTTGCCTTGCACAAATGGCCAGCCCTGGTTCACTCCCTACACCAGAATTGATTGCTGGGCCCTGCCAGAGTCCTAAGCACTATTAGTGTGACATCCTTCCCCACCTTTCCTTCCCCCCCCCCCAAAAAAAAGGTCATATTTTCTTGTTTTTTTTTTTTTAAGAGAAATGCTTAGTTATATCTTTTCTATGCAATCTGTGAGAAATTACTGAATCTGGTATGAAAATCAAGAGAATTTTTTTTAATTTTATATTTTTATTTTATCTAGATGACTCAGCAGAATTTAACTTAGTGAACAATGCCCTGTTAAGTATATTTAAGATGGATGCAAAAGGTAAGGCTGCTTGTTCCACATTGCGTTTGAAAGCTAAAAATGGGGGGGGGGGGGGGTTCAGATAAGGATAATGTCAGAGATTTCGCCCACTGGTCTCAGTATTTCCTGCAAGATTTTTTGCTGCTCCAGCCAAGGTATTTGTGACTCAAAGAACAAACAGAGTCACACAGAGTGCTCAAACCTTTCCAGTAGAAATCTGTTGGGAAATCCTGGGTCTAGCAGCCAGAGTAGTACCTCTGCAGACTGAGCACGTGCTTTGCATGTAGGAGACCTGGGTTTTATCCCAGCACCACATGGTCCCGAAACACCAACAGGTGTGGCCCCAGAACTAAAATTCATCAACAGAATATCTGGGTTTAGTTAATATTAATAATTAAGATTTTTTAATGATATTATTTATTAGCTATCAGTAATTTTCAAAAAGAAAAGTCAACACTTAAACTAATTCTGAATCCATAAGCAAAGCATGTAATGCTTTTCATGTGGCTGGGGCTCTAGAAGTAATTTAATGCTTATTGGAATATTAATTCACTTGGCAAGAAATACTCTAATTGGAGTAAAGCTTAGAAAGCAGAATTTACTTATGACATACAATGGTTTGTTTTGCAGGGACTTTAGGTGGCTTGTTTAGCCAAATTCTTCAGGGAGAGGACATTGTTAGAGAACGAGCAATCAAATTTCTTTCTACAAAACTTAAAACTTTACCAGATGAAGTCTTAACAAAGGAAGTAGAAGAGCTTATCCTGACTGAATCTAAAAAGGTAAACTGTGGTCTTCATTTAACAGAACTTTTATGAAACACGATGTATTCGAAGTGAGCAATATTCATAAGTACCGTATGTCTCCTCTGTGTAAGTAATAAAATCCCAGAGATCACTAGAGGGCCTTCATTTTTTTTCCTTTTATGATGACAAGTCATAATGTTAATCACTTCACTTAATCACTTAACTTCCGGTTAGTCGTCGATTTGCTCGAGCGGGCGCCAGTAACGTCTCCATTTGTCCCTGTCGCGTGCTAGTGTAGCCCAATGGCATCTCTTCGCTCTGGGAACATGGAGGGCCTCAAACCGATCGTTCATGACCTTGACAAAGAAGTCTGACCATCTGGTAGGTGGGCGGCCACACGGTCTCTTGACATCCCGTGGAATCCAATCAGTAACAGCTCTAGTCCAACGGTCGTCTTTAAATCTCATTACGTGACCAGCCCATCTGATTTTCGACAACTTGGCAAATGAGACAGCGTCCCTGATCCTTGATCGTCGACGGATGTCAGAACTCCGGATTCCTTCTCTCATTTGAGTGAAACGTGATATTCCAAGCATAGCTCTTTCTATTCTTCTTTGGGAGACCTGAATGGCGTTCTCATCTTGTTTGCGTAGGGCCCAGGTCTCTGAGGCATATGTTAATGCAGGAAGAACAGTGGAATCAAAGAGATGTGCCCGGAGCCGGAGGTTCTTCGTCCTCTTAGCTATTTCTTCGACGTTCTTGAAGGCGTTCCAAGCCGCTCTCTTCCTCCTGCGCAGCTCGGGTGCCAGGTCATTTGTCATGTTGACCTCTCGACCTAGGTACACATAGCTGTTGCATTCGGAGATGGTCGTTCCATTGAGAGCGAATGGGGCGTCAGGAACAAGGCTGTTTCTCATAAACATTGTCTTCGTAAGATTCAGCTGTAGTCCTACCTTTCCACACTCACGGTCAAAGTCGGCCAGCATTTGTGCCGCTTGGCTGATGTTTGGTGTTATTAAAACAATGTCATCAGCAAAGCGGAGGTGGTGTAGTTGCCGACCATCTATCTTCACTCCCATTCCTTCCCATTCCAGTCGTCGCATGATGTTCTCGAGGGTGGCACTGAAGAGTTTCGGTGAAATGGTATCACCCTGCCGCACCCCTCTCTTGACATCAACGATCACTTCTTTGTAGAATGGTGAGATCCTGGTAGTGAATCCGCAATACAGCTCACGGAGGATCCTGATGTATTGGGCTTGAATGCCCTGATTGGCTAGGGCTTCAATGACCGCTTCCGTCTCAACAGAATCAAAGACCTTCTTTAAATCAATGAACGTTAAGCAGAGCGGCATCTTGAACTCCCGAGAAACCTCAATGAGTTTGGTTATCGTGTGGATATGGTCGATGGTGATTTCATTTAAATCCTCTGAAGGACTGGGCAGAGAGTACTGCGAGAGGTTCTTGCCTTGCATGTGACTGATCTGGGTTTTATCTCCAGCACCATATATGATCCCCCCAACCCCCTCTAGAAGTAAGTCCTGAGCACAGCTGAGTCGGTGTGCTGCCCCCTCTCCCACTTCAAGAAAAAAAGAAATCCTCTTGAGAGGAACAAAAGTACAGGGTATAAGGTGCTTGCCTTGCTTGCAGCCAACATGGTTCAATTCTGATAGTCCTCCATCACTGTAGGATAACACTCTTTTTGTCCTTCCTCAGGTAGCTTAGGTTTGTCAGGTCACACCCACCTAAGAACACTGAACTTGTATTGTAAGCAATGTCCTTTCTGTGTGGACACAGGAAGACAGTTAATATTATGCTTTGTAACTTGGGAGTTGATTGACTCCGAATAATATTTACTCCTGGGCATCTGATTTCTTGACTCAGTTGCCCTTAGTTCCTAGCACCCCAAAAGCAGGGTCCTGACGAGGGACTGAATGGACCCAGGGCAAGCAGTGAGCTACCCTGGCATCGAAATGGGCCAGGCCAAAGAGCCACGATACTCAACTATAAGTTGGACCCTGCTGGAGCTAGGAAGATTAACCTGGCCTGAGGACTGCGAAATGTATAGTGAGATGTTCTCAGGAAGAACCAAACTAAATTTATATCTCTTACTGTGCTCATACAGAATGACATTGCTAGAAATGTTAGAAGTAGATTTATTACAACTAAGTAGATTACTAACTGAAGGAAGAACACACCCTTGTTGGGATCCCACCCTTGGGTGGATCTCCTAGTAATCTGAAGTAATCTCTGTAGATGAGATTTTATCCTTGAGTTAATCTCCTGGAGGAGTGGTTTTACCTCTCTTTGTTGATTCATCAGTATTCAACCCACCCTTATTTCACCGCCTTATGTGACTGCTATTTAAACTAATACGTAAGCTCGGAAAAGGGGGGTGAGAAGTGAGAGAGCTCGGGCTCCAGAGATCCAGAGTCAAAGCCAGAAGGAGAGAGCTTCCAAGACTGGGGCCCAGGAGAGAAGGAGACAGAGAAAGACAGGAGTGAAGATGATTGGAATAAACTACTATTGATATAGACCGGCCTGGCCCCCGTTTTTTCTTCCGTCTGCCCTTGGCCAACAGCCGTTCCGATCCAGGCCACACACAGTGGCTCAAGAGCACCGAACGCAGGCGGTGAAACAGTGCCGTCCAGTGAGCCCGTGAACATACAACCTTCGGCGTGATAAGATTTTACACATCACCACTAGGGATGATCCCTGAGTACAGAGCCAGGAGAAACCCCTGAGTACTAATGGGCGTGCTCCCAAAACTCCCCTACTTCCTCAAAAATAAATAAGTCCTCTGTGATGCTCTCCCATTGCCCAAGACTGGAACTAACTTTCCTTGGGTAATTTTTCTGATTTCCACCTCTCTTCCTGACTTTAGAATGTTTTCCAATGTTCTGGATTTTTTCAAAATGAAACTACATTGAAATGACCAGTTTTTCATCCTGTCCCAGTGACACTGTAGGCCCAAAAACCATGTTTATTTGTATTGCCAGCACCTAGAGCAGCTACAAATGCTAAGATTCTCAGAATATGTCACAATGTTTCAGTACCAAAATTTGGGGATTTTTAATATATGCTGAGGAAAACTCAGATTTTTCTATATTAGCACTGTTTCATTAGCTGATTAAGATTTCTTTCTTTTTGTGGTTTTGTGGCCACATCCAGCACTGCCTGGGGACTAAGCCCACCACTACCTTCAGGGGATCCCTCCTGGCAGTGCTCAGGGGATTTTTGCAGTGCCAGGGATTGAACCCTGCAATCTTTGCATGCACTTAACCATATTGAACTCTCTCCTCCCATCCTCTCCCCTCTTGCTGGTTAATATTTTTTCAGTGAGTGAGAAAGGAGGAAACTCCCCGTGGGTATATCGGCACATTATACCTATGTCCAGCAAGTCTCTGTGATAGATTATGGTATGATTGTTCTTTAGTTAGTCAACAAAAAGACCATTCCTCCCAAACATACACAGTATACTGTCCTCCCATTCATTGATTTGCTCAAGCGGTCCCAGTAATGTCTCCATTTTGAGACTTGGTGTTACTGTGTTTGGAATATTGAATACGTCATGGGTAGCTTGCCAAGCTTTGCCTTGCTGTGCAAGATACTCTTGGTAGCTTGCTGGGCTCTCCGAGAGAGGTGGAGGAATCAAACCCGGCTCGGCCAGGCTGGCTGCGCGCAAGGCAAACACCCTACCGCTATGCTATTGCTCTCCCTCCTAAACATAAACCACTTAAAATAAGATTTGTATGGTATCCTGTTTCCAGTTTCATCTGAGGCTGCTTTCAAATAAGGATACTGAAGCTGGTGATATAGTTCAGGTCTATACGGAAAAAGCTGTGGGAAGGGGACTAGAGAGAGCTCAGTGGATTGAGGGTGTAGAGAACCCCAAATGGTGGGTTCAGTCCCCGGCACTGCATCTCCCCTTCCCCACAGCACTTACCAGACTCCTCCGCCTTTCGTTCACTAAAACAATTTTTTTTTTTTTTTTGCTATCTCCATCTCCTAAAGAGCCTTGTTAAATATTTGTCCTTAGCCAAACTCCTCTGAAATTGTAAGGCAGCTTATATCCTATGTTTATGTCCTGGATCTGTGCTTTAGATATAAAATGTTAAAGTTTTCAAGAAGCAGATCTGCCTCCCTGTTTGCAAGTGTCTTCCTTGAGAATGTGTGCTACATGCTGGGAAACTGGCTGGCATGAGCTTTAGGTGGTCTTCTCAGCAGTGTGTCAGAAACATCCATCACACGTCCATGGGAATTGGCTCTGCTAAGTCTCTCTCTTGATCTTCCTTGCTGTGCAAGTGACTCAGATGCAACTCTGAATTCCTTGTCTCTTACCAGGTTCTAGAAGATGTGACTGGTGAAGAATTTGTTCTTTTCATGAAGATCCTGTCTGGGTTGAAAAGCCTCCAGACTGTGAGTGGAAGGCAGCAGCTTGTAGAGTTGGTGGCTGAGCAGGCCGACTTAGAACAAACCTTTAATCCCTCGGACCCTGACTGTGTGGACCGCCTCCTGCAGTGCACTCGACAGGCAGTTCCCCTTTTTTCTGTGAGTTTATTGTGCGATGAAACCAGTATTTTATTACTCTGTTAGCTTATGTTCCTGCAAATACTAGCTAGCTTGAAGGGTTGCAAATTTTCCTAGGGAAATAGTAAATAATTTTACTCTTTGGAGCCCTGAGTGTGGTTGGTTAGAACCTTTATCAACTGGTGGGTCATATTGTCCCCTGATATTTCAAGGGGTTCGTAGGTGTACATTGACCATGCACAACATTACTGAGGCCAACTGTGGTAGCACAGGAGCACCAAGGAAGGAAACAAGGCCAAGAGGCAGGGGGCCATTGTTAGTGAAAGACTGAGAAACACTGGCCTAAAACTGCAAGAAATTTCTTTGAAGTCTTGACTTTTTATTTGTTTTGGTCTTGGGGGTGGAGCCTCACTTGGCAGTGCTCAGGGCTTACTCCTGGCTCTGCACTCAGGAATTACCTCTGGCTTTGATCAGAGGACTTTGTGTATGGGATGCTGGAAATCACACCTGCGACAGCCACATGCAAGGCAGGCACCCTGCCCACTGTACTGTCGCTCTAGTCCAGCCCTGTGTCATATATTATAATACTGAATCTGAGATTCAGATTTTCCTTTTTCCTTTTTTAATCCTGAAAAAAAAATTTTCTGGGTAAATGTTTCATCTCTTGCTTTGTTCAGCTGTCTGCGAGTCTTTAGTGATGTGCATAGCATAGTTTGAAAACCAGTTTAAAGAAGGGGATTTTGTGGGGGCGGGGAGGGCCAGTAGGTGGGAGAGGAGGGAGGTTGCGCTTGGCTTTGTGCTCAGTGGACACTCCTGGTGGTGGTACTGAAGGAACCATATGTGATGCCAAGATTTGAATTAACATGGCAGCCATAGCTATATGCTAGGCAAGTTCCTGAATCTGCACTCTTCTCCAGCCCAAGAATCTTATCCTTTTTGAGAAATGAATAGCCTGACATTCAGTACTGAAAGGACCAGTTTGATAATACATTGGCATGGCTGGCATGAATTCAATCCCAGGCACCACATATGGTCCACCAGGATTAAGCTCTGAGCATTAACTGGTGTGGCCCAAAAACAAACAAACCATTGCTAAAATTTTCACCAAAATTTGACCTTAGAATGAAGAAGGAGCTCAGAAATGTGTAGGTATCCTGATGTTCCAGATTACTTTGTACCTTAAGTGTGTTCTTTCTGGAGTATGCACTCTGTTGTACTTGTAATCTCTACTTGGTTTTGTGGTACTCAGTGTTTGTCTGTTGTGGTACTCGGTGTTTGTTGAATGACATTCTGCTATTTGAGAACTTTTTTCTTTTTTCTTTTTTTTCTTTTTTTTTTTCACAACTCAGTGTTCTTTGGATTTTTACAGAAAAATGTGCATTCCACAAAGTTTGTGACTTATTTCTGTGAGCACGTTCTTCCTAACCTCAGTTCCTTGACTACCCCAGTGGAGGGTCTTGATATACAATTGGAGGTAAGGCAAAATTTTCTGCTTTTAGCCTAAAAAAGGCATTCCCATACTTTGTGATGACTCATTAGTAATATATCCCAGGATTAATTATATAAAAATGCTTTATGGATTTAGCAAATAGATGAGAAAGCACTGCTATAGTTCTTGATTATAGTGCGTGTTCATTTTCATAGTGTCAATATTTTAAAATCTTTACTTCATGATAGTGCCGCTCTTAATCCACAACCAGCATATTTAATCGTAATTAAAATATAGGGGCCAGAGAGGTAATACAGTAGAGAGGTCGCTTGCATTGCACACACTGACTCAGCTTCAATCCCCTATACCACATGTTGATTCCCTGAATGTCACCAGGAGTAAGTCCTGAGGTACCTCTGGGTATGGCTCAAAAACCGAAACCAAAAAAAGTGTAATACACAGACACATTTTCACAGCATGTCCAATGCTTACCATTTGTCTGCCTCCCCATGTTGAGCCTGATTCGTCTCTGGTGCAGAGCTTGACTATGAAAAAGGCACAGAATTAATCTTTGATCAGACTGAAATATGGAACTGTGAGTCCCTCCTCGTTCATGGGGTAGCATCGCATCTCACAGGACACTTTGCTCCAAACATCTTGGGTTTGGCTTTTCAAACTGAAAAGCCTGTTGACTGTTTGAGTCAACAGGAAATTAATTTCAGTAGCTGTTAGTTACCAAAACATTGAGTTAGTGTCTAAGAATAAATTTAATAGCAGTGAGGCCCACCAAAAATGTTACAAAATAATATTTTAAATCATTTCTTCCTCTGTTACTAAATAATAACATGTTTATTACTTCTTCCTCTATGTTTCTTCATAGTACGTTAATTGGGGAGATTAGGGATATCTCCCAAACTGTGCTCAGAATGGGTCTCCCCAGTGATCCCTAGTCAGCCCTTCTGGTGGTTCAGTACTAAGGCCCAGGGATGTAGCACTGCTCATGGTCTGTGGTTTCGGGGGACACTGGGGGGTCTACCAGCACACACACCCCCCTTCAGTGCTCAGGATCCTTCAGGGCTGCACCCAGCAATGCTTCGAAAATTGTGTGGTACCAGGAACCAAACTGGGTTAACTGCATGTTCTTAATCCTCGTACTGCCACTCTGGCCCAAGTACGTGACTCACCCATAGCAGAAAGTGTCCTGTGGATTCTTTTCTATCTCTCAAGCTTGAGATCTAGAGCCATAGGTGTCGGCCTACCATGTATATGCATTGTGATTTTTGCCAAGTCACATAATGCCTCTGACCTTCATTTCCGCACAGTGAGCTATAGGGCTGCATCTCCCATGCAGACATGATTCTAGAAGAGCATAACTGAAAAATAACTAGTTCTAGAATCATTCTTAATTTATAGTCGCTGCTTGTTCATTTAAAAAAAGATTGTGCTAATAATCCCGAATTGTTTGTTTTAGGTATTGAAACTATTGGCAGAGATGAGCTCATTTTGTGGAGACATGGAAAAACTAGAAACAAACTTAAGGAAACTCTTTGATAAGTTACTGGTAAGAAAGTTGTCTTTCCTTCTTCCCTAGTCAATATAGAACCCCAAAGTCTTAACTATGTAGTATTAACTTCTGTATCATGGGAAACTAGATTTCAAACAAGTGGTGTTAGATGCTTAAACCAGGACTCTGTCTTTGTTTTTGTTTTGGGGCCACACCTGGCAGTGCTTTGGGGTTACTTCTGGCTCTGCACTCAGGAATCAGTCCTGGTGGTGTTCAGGGGACCATGTCGGATGCCCAGGATAGAATTGGGGTTGGCCGCATGCACGGCAAAAACCCTACCCTCATTTTGGCCCCTGTCTTTATTTTTAATTATTGGACCACATCCAGTGGTGCTCAGGGGTTGTTCCTGGTGCAGTGGTCAGGAGTGACCTCAATAGAATCTTGCATATGTGTTACTGGGGATTCCAAGCAGAGTTGGTGGGAAGCAAGGCAAGTGCCTTAACCTCTTCCTCACCCCCTACCCCCACTTCCCTTTCTTGAATGTTTTCATCTTGGACATTTCATCTGTTATTGTTGCTTTGCATAGAATGTAGGAGGTTCCTATTACAGGGTATGATGCAGGCCTATTCCCCAAGGCCAACTAGCTTGAAAAAATGGCCCCTTAAGTCATACTTATAGATAAATAATCCATTCCATAAAAATCGTTTTCAGAATCAAGTGATCTTTGTTGATCTAGGAATCAGGTTCAGAGCATTCATGAATAGGAATTCATGAATAGCATTCATGAATAGGAATCGAGCAACTATTGTTCTGCAGACTCCTAACAGCCCTAATAGCCACAGGGGTGTCATAGTGTCACTTACACAGTATGGATCCATGCTCAATAACAAAGTCTTAAAAAGTAGAAGTGTCTTGCTGAGGGTCGGTGCTAGTTCTAAGACGCTGGGGGGAGTGCCATAAAGTTATGAAGTTAGGCTTCCTGACCTGGGTACAGGTGGCTCCAAGTGGAGTGGTCAGAAATTACCGAAGTCAGAGCTCAGAATAACAATCACCTTCCCTGCAAGCTTGGGACCTGTAAGGCTCTATAGTGAGCTTGGCTCCAACACATATTTTTGGGTGGTGTGGCCTCAACTCTGCTGTTTGGGATCCCAGGTGCCACAGCAAAGTGTGAGAATTCCAGTAGGCCACAGCCAAGTGTTCGAGTGCTATAGCTTGGCCTGTGCAACCTTCAGTCTGTGCAGCAGCAACACATCAAGGACATGGGAACAAAACAGTTGTTTTGGGAGGCCAGAGCGATAGTACAGCAGGTCGAGTGCTTGGGTTCAAACCCCAGCACCTCTGATGGTCACCTGAGCACTGGCAGGAGTGATTCCTGAGTACAGAACCAGGAATAACCCTGAGCATCTCCAAGTGTGGCTCAAAGACCAAAGGGTGGGGGAAGACCAGTTGTTTGGGAGCTCATATCATGTTGGTAATACTTGATATCAAACATAGATTGAATCACGACTCTTTCTGAGTTGTCAGAACTTTTGTTCCCTTATCTGTGTATGTATGTACTTAGTAAATGTTAGCTACTTCCTTTGACATTTTTAGTAGCAGCAAGAACAGCCATAACACAGGTTGATAGGAGGGTTCATGTTTTTGATCCCAGTAGATAAAAGGGATGCCTTGCCATAAATTTCTGATCTTCGTAGTATTTAATGCATTGTCTCTTAAAAGCATGCCCTAGGATATGCTTAAATATATGTTTAGAATTAGAATATTGAGAGTAGGTTGCAAACGTCATTATTTTTGTCTCTTAGGAGTACATGCCTCTTCCTCCAGAGGAAGCAGAAAATGGGGAAAATGCAGGCAATGAGGAACCCAAGCTGCAGTTCAGTTATGTTGAGTGTTTGTTGTACAGCTTTCACCAGTTGGGACGGAAACTTCCAGATTTCTTAACAGCCAAACTGAATGCAGAAAAACTCAAAGATTTCAAAATCAGGTGATGTATCATTAAAATGACAAAGGTGATAGTTACCGTGAATCTTGCCCAGGTTTATGTTTCATTTCATAAAAACTTTTACCCCATCATGCTACATAACCTAGCTGAACAGAAGGGAAAATCTGCAAACAAGAACAGATACACATATATGATAGTTATGAAATAATAACTATAAGGGATAAAGAACTTCTGGAAAATGTGCTCTGGTTTTCCACACTTTATTTTAATGGTGTTGGGCAGGTTCCCTCAGCTCTCTAACACTCTCTCACAGATCTTCCCAGTTGTTTATTGACAGTAGCACCTGTTTCACAGAATTGTGAGAATTAAATGAGAAAAAAATAGAAAGCTCTGAGCACAATTGCTAGTACTTAGTGAGCACTAAGTACGCTCTAGTGGCTATTATTATTAAGACAGTGCTGCTGGAGAACCTCTCAGCACTGGAGAAATCAATACAAGAACGCTTTCATAAACTTGGTTTGTATTGGCTTTAGTAAATTCTTACCCATTTTTTAAAATTAATATTAAAAATACCGTGATTAACAAAGTTGTTCATTATACAATTGTTTCAGGCATTTAATGTTCCAACACCACTTGTGTGACCTTTCTTCCACCAGTATCCCCAGTTTTTCTCCCAATCTCAACCTATCCCCCTTTGACACATAACAGATTTACTTTATATTGCTTATTACAACAAAACTTTTTAAGAACTGGCAAATAGATAGCATGCCCTATAATGTACTTTATAATCAGAAAATAAATCAGTGTGAGTGAATTAATGGTTACTATTTGATTTAACCTATATAAATAGAAGATTAAAACCATTTAATACAACATAAAATACCTGTTCACATTTACATATATATGTTTCCAACTCTGGAATCTAAAGTATATTACATTAAGTTTTTTACTTGAATCTCATGATAATAGTCATGAGATCACTTATCCTGGCTCTGCACTCAGGAATCACCCCGGTGGTGCTCAGGGTACCATATGGGATGCTGGGAATTGAACCTGAGTTGGCCGTGTGCAAGGCAAACACCCTACCCTCTGTACTGTTGCTCCAGCCCACATTGATAAAACTTTTAAAACAATTCTGTGTTAATAAATTTTGGAGTTGACATGAAATAGGTAATGCCTATTTCCCCTTACACTTTATATATAACACTGTGATTTACAAAGTTGTTCATGATAAATTGTTACAGGCATTCAACATTCCAACACCAATCCCACCACCATTATACCTTCCCTCTACCATTGTCTTCGGTTTTCACAATTACCCTTTAAGGCCGCCCCTATAGCAGCCCCTCAGTAATTTATTTTACATAGCTTGTTATCCATAATTTGCTAATATAATGATTAAAAATGTTTCCTTAGAAAAAAAGTTAGTGGGACTGGAGAGATAGCACAGCAAATAGGGTGTTTGCCTTGCACGCGGCCCACCCAGGTTTGATTCCCAGCATCCCATATGGTCCCCTGTGCACCGCCAGAAGTAACTCCTGAGTGCAGAGCCAGGAGTAACCCCTGTGCATTGCCAGGTGTGACCCAAAAAGAAAAAGAAAAAAAGTTAGTGAAAACTGTTATATATCACCATGGAGCCATTCAGTCCTTATATAAGAGATTATTAAGATGTTACAGGTTAAGCTTTCTGTGTTTATGTTTTGTTAATCGAGATTGGTTGTCTTCTATGTTACATCCCATGCAGTCTGGTGTGCTATCAGTGTGGTAGAGTTTGAGATGTTTGAGATGTCACGTGGCTGAAAATATGACTGCACTTTCCAGGAAATCCAGAATTTTTAATGGAGTGATATATAGCTGAAGTTAAAGTCTTAACTGGGTGGCAACTTTGGTGTGCATGACTGTCTCGGTTTCCGGAAGTACAGGGAGAATGGAGGTAGCCCATCCCAACTCCATGAAAGCCTGAAGATTTCTGTCACAAAACCCACATGCCAGAATTTTTTCAGCAGGTTAATTTCTGGATGAGGCTCGTCCCAAGTTAGTGAAGTCCAGCTGGGGGTATGGTAGCTATTGTGGAGTGTGGGAGCACTGGGCTGCCGGGTCTCATTTAGGTCGGCACTGGACTGACCCCACCCTCCTCTCTGGGGTGCCCTGGACAACTCAGCTATGTGCAGGTGTTCTGGGGAATCTTCTGTGAAAATTGCACATCCTTTCGCTTTGAAATGCACAGCCACTATTTATTCATTGTCCTTTATTCTGGTAAGGCAGAGGTTTAGTACTTGATAGTCAAAATTTTGATCAGAAGATGCCTATTCAAGAGATTTCAAAAGAAGACAATACCTGGTAAATTGCATTCCAAGAAGTGAACAGAATGGAGTTAATGGTGCCAACTGTCCTCACATACTGCTTGGAACACTTGCAAAGAAAGATGAAGAGGCTTTAATGAGTTTCTCATACAGCAGGATTCTCAGCCTTGGCGATGAAGTGACTTGTCATTTTAACCTTTGGTCGGATGTGGAAGAATAGAATCCAGGCTACCTGCTCCTTAGTACTAGCGTCTGAATGTTTCACTCTGAGTTAGACATGTACCTGCCCGGTTAATGTAACAAGTATCTCTAGCACAGCGCTGTATGTCTTTCCCTTCCCATATGGAGTGTGGATTTATTCAAACTTTCAAATAAAAATCTTAGTAATTCATCTTCACTTCACCTAATTGTACATCTTTTGTGATCATGAGTTAATGATTTTAGGAAGTTCTCCCCCCAAAAGTACTCTTTGATTGTAATGCTCATTTAGTGGTAAGACACTTTTCATTATAGGGCTGGAGAGATAGCGCATAGCATGCTCTATAAACAGGAGGCTTGGTTTAATCCCTGCAACTGCATCGTCCCCTGAGTGCCATCAAGGTTGACCCAAACGACCTTCCACCCCCCATCAAAAAAGAAAAGATGTGTTGAGTTTAAAGCAAAATTGATGATTTCCTAACAACAATATTTTCTTTTAGGCTGCAGTACTTTGCACGGGGACTACAAGTTTATATTAGACAACTTCGCCTGGCTCTCCAGGGTAAAACAGGGGAGGCCTTAAAAACAGAAGAGGTAAGAATGTCATATCACATGTCATAAGGAAATTTTACATTAGCTTTCATCTATTAAAATCAGGCTGACTTCATACACAGACTTGTGGCAGTCCACTCTAAACTGGTGACAACAGGTCTGTGTTGTAAGGCACTAAATCACCAGCTTACTTCTGAGTCATATTAATAATGTTGAAGTGTTTTGAATGTTTTCAGTGATTGTGAACTGTTAATATATTTACATTTCTACTAGAGTCTCATTAGTGGTATGTTTTGGTTAAAGATTTGGTAGTTGTGATATTTTAATTTTCTCTTTCTAAAGACTTATTAACTTACACTAGGAGACAGGGAGGGTGGGAGGGCGAGAGAGAGAGAGAGTATGTTAGAAAGAGAGTTAGAGAGTTTTATGTGTTGGAAACAACTATGTGTGTTGGAATTTGGGGGTTTCCCTGAACTCTTAATTCAGACCTTACCCTGGTCATATTGTTTTATTATGTCTTCCTGTAACTTAAACTGATTGCTTTTAATTTTTTTTTTTCTTTTACTTTTTGGGTTGCACCCGGTGATGCACAGGGGTTTCTCCTGGCTCATGCACTCTGGAATTACTCCTGGCAGTGCTTGAGGGACCATATGGGATGCGGGGAATCGAACCTGGGTTGGCCACATACAAGGCAAACACCCTATCCACTGTGCTGTTGCGCCAGCCCCAAACTGATCGCTTTTAAAACAGTTTTTGTGTCCATGTACCTTGTCTCTTACACATTTTCCAGGTAAAATTTAGATAACATCAGTGAAACATAAAGACTCTTTTCTGTCTTAGCTGATTTGAAAGTCAAGAAATAAGCATTTCAAGCATTTTTCTATAGATGTTAATCAAGAAATTCTGTACCTATAAAAGTCATCCTGAGGAGCTGGAGAGATAGTACAGCAGTACTTTCCTTGCACATGGCCAACCCGGTTTTGATCCCTGTACCCCATATGGTCCCCAAATCCCTTCAAGGAGTAACACGAAAAGATTCTAAAAGTATTCTCTTTCTGTATAGGAATAGAATATGTGTCTAATAAAAGTTATTGGCATCTTACATTTTTGTTTTCCTTTTTGCAGAACAAGATTAAAGTTGTTGCATTGAAAATAACAAATAATATCAATGTTTTAATCAAGGTAAGTAGTCCCTCGCTACCCAGTCTCACCCGCTGAGTCTTCAAGAGATTGTTAGGGTTTCCATACACCTTTAGATTTGTAATAGTGATGCTTAAGGGGAAATGCTGTTGTGTTCCACGTGTTTGTTTCAACATTGAGCCGCTCCTAGTTGTGATCAAGGGTCCTTTCTGGCAGTGTTGGGGCATTGTATAAATGTGGTGCTGAGATCATACTGGACTCAGCCATATGTAAGACGAACACCTTAACTCCTGTACTCTCTGACCATGTTGGCCCTTTTTCTTTTTTTTTTTTTTTACATCACTGATTTCTGAAATCAATGATTTCCAAAATCATTTATTATAAAATTCTTAAAATATTGCATAAAGGAAGTCATGCAGATTTGCTCTGTGAATCTGTTTCAATGCTTTGGAACTATAATTTGGGACAGATTTACATTTTATTTTGAAGCGAAGCCATCCCCTGCATTGCTGGTCTCATCAGAATTTCACCCCACAGTAAGTTACATATTGCCAGGATGAAGTTTGGGCCAGGCATAAACTTCAGGTCTTTGACTGTCTCCTGAGCTCCAGATCTACATTTCATCTGATAAGTAACTGACTTATGTTCTGCTGGTATTTGTATTATTGGGCCACCTTTATATTTGTGCATTGCCTACACTAAGAATTACATTATATATATTCTTCATTTTTATTTATCCTGACACACATATATACACGTAACGAGGGAACAAATAAAGAATCACAAGGAAGCAGCCGTTTTTTAAGTTAACAATCTAGGGGGGTGACAAATGATATAACATGCAGAGCATGGGCTTCATGGTGACAGAATTGACACCGAAGGTATACCTTAAAACTGAGCTGATAAAAGTCTCACGGAATAATTCCTTTTTATGAGAACTTTAGGAAGAGCAGCTTTTCAGAGAAAGCAGCAGTGTGACATTGAGGGGACGGGGAAGCATTAGAAACAGAAGCGGTGAGAAAATAAAATTGCACTAGATTCTGTAGAGAATTTATGTATTGAAACATGAGACTTTATTTGAACTAATCATTTTAGTTGTCTTCAACTACTCTTTGATGTTATGGATATTTTAAACTTAGCAGATTCTGGGTCAGAGAAATGCTACAAGGGTTAAGGTACTTGCCTTGTATGCAGTCAACCTTAGTTCCATCCTCAATACCTCATGTGGTCCCCAAGCTCTACCAGGAGTGATCCCTGAGCACAGAACCAAGAGTAAGCCTGAGTACTGCCAGATTTACTGCTGCCGCCCCAACCTCCCCTGCACACCCCCCCCCCAGAAAAAAAGTAAACCATAATGCTTAATAGATATTCTGGATGCAGTATGTCAGCAAAAAAGTTTCCTGTTTAAGAAGCTATGGGAGGGGCTGAAGCAATAGCATAGCAGGTAGGGTGTTTGCCTTTCACACAGCCGACCTGGGTTCAATTCCCAGCATCACATATGGCCCCCTGAGTACCACCAGGAGTAATTCCTGAGTGCAAAGCCAAGAGTAACCCCTGAGCATTACTGGGTGTGACCCAAAAAGCCAAAAAAAAAAAAAAGCCATGGAAAGGTGTATGGGGAAAGTGATGAATAGAATCCGGTTCGGCTGTGTGTTAGAGGGCTTTGAAATATCCTGAAATAGTTTTTTGAATGGGGAAGTAGTGTATGTTCTGGTCAGTTCTTTGTCTTAGAAAATGTAGAAGAAAGTATGTTCTTTGGCCATGCTTGCTATTTCGTCGCTTCAGTTCCAATTAGGATGATTCACCACAGCTCACTTTCACTTATATTTTAATGAACCCACAAACTAGAGATGCTCAAATCTCACCTCGTCGCCTGAGGTTGACATGTTTAAAATTGCTGTCTTTTCCGTTTTCCTTTCCCCTTCCTGTTGTCCTTTCCTTAACTAAAAATACATACCATATGCTGTCATTCCAGCTAAAAACCTTAAGCATTTTGTCCAAAGAATTTCCCTGCAATTATTTGATACACGGTGAAAAGGTTTTTGGTTTTTTTTTTTTTCATCCTGAATATGAGGCTGCAAACCATTCTTCACGCCCACAGGTCTGAGTATAGAAATAGCCACTTTCTCTGTGCCTTGCTGTCACCAGTGCAGTCCAGCAGCCATGCCTGTACTGTTGAGCTTGGTGTGTACAGGTGTGATTAAGTTTTATACAGCAGGAGGTGATTTTTATTAGTCTTTTTTTTAATTGAATCACCATTAAATATATAGTTTTAAACTTGTTCATGATTGAGTTTGAGTCATACTTTATTCTCCTCACCCCAGTGTACATTTCCGGTCCACCAGTGCCCTCAATTTTCCTTACGCCCTGTGTCTATCTCTCTATCTGTCTCTCTTCCTCTCTCTCCCTCTAGCTCTCTATCTCTCTCTCATTTTTCTTTTAGGCACTGCGGTTTGTAGTACTGTTACTAAAAGGTTATCTTGCATATCATTGTACCTCCTTTCAGCACTCAGTTTGTGTCCAGAGTGATCATTTCCATCTATCATTGTATAGTGGTAATTTTAACTTGGGAAAAGTTAACTCACTTTTACCTAATTTTACCTGCATATAAAAATTATAGTAAGCATACTATGAAATGTTAGGTTAAGGGTCTAAGAATAAATATATTTAGAAAATCAGCAAGTATTTGCGTTACCACACAATAATTTGCTGTTTAACTTTTATTGGATTTTTCATTATGGGAATAAATGTGTAAATATTTAGAAAAATTTGATTATCCAGGCCTTTAAATAAAACTCAGAAACAATAATAAAACAGGCATAAGTTGTAAACAAAATTGTCCCTGTTCACTTTTTTTTTTTTTTTTTTGGAGAGAGGGAACCTTAAGCCTTTTAGTCTCCGGCACGGGAGCAGGAAGGATGAAGTAAAGCTTTTTTCTTAAAACTAATCTTTAAGATGTGCTTCTTATTTCCTGCCTACATGCCAAAAGATACATTAGAAATCTTCTTTAATTTTGTCTCTTCAGGATCTCTTCCACATTCCTCCTTCGTACAAGAGTACGGTAACATTATCCTGGAAGCCTGTACAGAAGGTTGAGATGGGGTAAGAAATACATTCAAAAAAATATTGAGCACTTCAAGTATTTATGATGTAGAAATATGAAACTGAATTGAGGCGCCATTCAAACTATTATTGACTCCACTATTTGCTTTGTGTTGGGCTACACCTGGTGGTGCTTGGATGTCACTCCCAGTGGTGCCGAGGGAATACCAAAGCTGGGCCCTACTCTGTGAGCCATCCCTTTCTCCCATTTCCCCCACCCCCACTGCCTTTGTAACGATCTTCCCATCACCTCCATCCTCCAACATGATTGTTGCTGAGATGTCAAAATATGACTATGACTATTAGAAGCATTACTTAAAATGCAAATTTTCATCAATTACAGAATAAAGTTGTGGACCACGTCCCTGAACTTTAAGACCAGTGGTTTAACTAGGTTTTTTCTGCCTGTTTCACAAAATGTAATTGCTTGCATATATTTTATGAAGTAACATGCTTCATATTATTTTGAAGCTTCTTAAATGGGCTCTGAAGTCTGTATAGCTGAGGGAATAAATTTGGTACCATCATAATGTTCCTTTTTTTTCTGATATGATTCAATTTAGGGTGTGTTTAATAACCAGTATGCTAAATTATAAATGTGTTGATAGTTGAGGCCAGAGCCATACTAAAGCAGTTCTCAACATCTCATATGGTCTCTGAGTGTAGAGCCAGGGGTATGCCCTGAGCACTGCTGGAGTGTGGCTCAAAAACAACCCAAATAAGGTATTAGTAGTCTCTGCTATAATGTTTTTTTGTTTTGTTTTGTTTTGCTCTTATTGTTGTAGGCAAAAGAGAGCCAGTGAAGATACAACTTCAGGTTCACCACCCAAGAAATCTCAAGGAGGACCAAAAAGGGATGCCAGGCAAATCTATAATCCTCCTAGTGGGAAATATAGCAGCAATTTGGGCAACTTTAATTATGGTGAGCGTTTCCGTTTGGGCATAAGCAATATGAGAGGCTGTATCTTTTTCAGGTACCTTTACTTAGTTTGTGGGACCAGAGTTGTTGTGTATAAACTTGGAGGTTCTTTTCAGCCCTGTTAGACGAGCACCAATGGGTCATGAGGTCTGCTGTGGAAAACTACTGATAGAAACAGCTTATCCCATTTCTTTCCCCTCCACCCCACACTCCCCTCCCCCCCCCCCCCCCCCAGAATTGAGTGTGCAACAGGACAACCATAAAAAAAGAAAAATGTGCCTCTTGTATGCCCTAAGAGCCAACAGGGGTAAAGAGGAAGTTGACAAGAACCATTTATTTCTTGGTGTTTCATGTTCTATCTTCAAAAAGTATTCTCCCTCAGGGGATGGATGTAGCTCCTACCTAGTGTAGTTTTAATGATTCTCCTCTTTGTGTCGGTGTCAGCCAGCCTATGCTCATCCTCTCATCATTTGTACACATTGAAAATGAAGTGGAGTCAGAGGCTAAAGCATCCTGTGGCATGAGAGGCCATGCCACTTATAGTCCAGTGTTCCTGTCACCCTTAGTAGACTTTTCTCGTCAGCTTCAGCACTGGGTGCCAGGAATGCTTCCTAATAAGACGGGGTCTACTGGCACTGCCAGGGCCAGAGAGAAGTGTGTCACCTATTGGATTGTTTCCTCATTGCTCCTTTTAAAGAAGCATGACAAAAATAGCACTGATTGATCCCCTTCGCCTTCCTTAGTATGAAGTTTAAATTTGTAGCACCCAAATGTGCTTATGTTTGATCTTGTAATTGATCAAAATCAATTCTGTAACAGTTATTTCCAAAGAAGTATATCCAGTTTCTGTAATTTGTTGCCAAGATAATTGTGATATTTTAAAGATTAATTCCTCCTGTATTATGTAAGTGCTTCTAAGCAAAGAAAAATTTGAAAAGGCAATTTTGGATGTCAGATGTGCTTTTCTACTCAAACTCGTTGAGGCAACTTCGTATGTGAAGATTACTAAACTCTTGGGCACATCGCAAATGCACCTCTCTTTGAAAACTGAGGTGAACGAAGCTCCACTAAGCTTCACATAGACATGTTTGCTAGAAGCATTTAGTGAGTGGGGAGGACTGTTTCTTCAGTGTGTCCAGCGTGTTGTCCATCACTCCAGTGACAGTAGGGTGGCACCTCACAGCATCATCAGCTGAATCACAGATGTTCTCTTCCCTTCAGATTTTATCACTTGCCAAGTAAATTCCTCTCTTTTTCCTTTAGAATTCTGCCCTGTGTGAGAATGCCTGCATGATGATTAGAAGAATACAGTGCTTTGGGACAAAGAGATGTGCACAACACAAACCTTATTGCGTATAGGCAGTCTGAGCTCAGTCCCTGTCTCCATGCACACACACACATTCTCTCACATCGTAATGAAGGCAGGAATCACTACCCTCACTGGGTACATGCAGGAGCACTGCACAGATCACTGCAACATTCTGTAGTCCACTGCTGATTTTTTGATGGTGTTCATAGATAATAACATGATGCTTTCCTGTGAATGTATACTGATGGACTGAAGAAAAATGTATTATGACACAAGTTCTTGCTTCAAATCCAATCCCATTATATTACATACAGATACATGTTGGCCAACCCCAGGAAAGGTCTAATTACTTTTCTTAGAGTTGATTTACTTTTCTTCTGGAGGCAGGGTGCAGGGGGCTGGCATGAATCACGTAAATATACTAACTATATTTCTAGCCATAATTGCAATAGTGGATTGCAATACTGAGTAATAGGAATTATTCAGGCTTCCTTCATTATAGATCAAAAATGGCAACATCAGGTTCTCTTGTCATTGCTCATAATAAGATTGCTACAGTGAAGATGTTTGAAAGTTCAGTGAAAACATTTGATCTTTGAAATCAGAAGTTTGAAGCTCCTGAATCATTGCATATGATGAAAAGTCCAACTTTTCTGGTCACTCTGTTGTTTTCACTGGAAAACTCTAAGAGATACTGACTAATGAATCTGAGATTTTTTGAATCATGACAAAAGTGATTTGATTTTTCAGTAAGAGCAGTAACCCAGATTCTGTATGTAAACATAGTACCTTTTTGGCAGTTCTCTTTTATAGCTAATAAGCAGAGAGAAAAGCTGGCATAGCTACAGTTTTTGAGTTCAGTGTTTCAAGTATTGTGACTTAAACGCCTATTTGGTGTTTAGGGGAGGGTTTTGGGTTTTGTTTAAAGGCCGTTCCCAGCATTGTTCATGGCTTACTCTTTGCTCTGCACCCAAGGATCACTCCCTGTTGCTTGTAGAGGGAGACCATATAGGGTATCATGGTTCAAACCTGGGTCAGCCACATACAAGGCAAGTGCCTTGCCCACTGTGCCATCTTTCTGGCCCCCTCTTCATTGCCTTTGAAGTGTATGTTTTTCAGTCTCGTCTAATTTTCCAAATTGACCTTAAATATCTTTTGCTATGGCACTAACTTTTGAGGACTGACTTTGGTCATTAATAATAAGTATAAAGTAAGAATTATAATATTTTAGTAAGTTTATATTTTAATATTTTTATTGATAAAAATAAGTATGAAATACTCGTCTTACTATTATTGCTTAGAGGAACAAAAAAAGAGAATTAAGAAATGTAGTAATCCTACATTGTCGCATTGAAAAACCTTTAATGGGATCCATTTTAATGAGTTCCTGTATATAATTGTCTGAATGTTTCAACTCCTTAACGTGATGCGATTCAGTGTGTGTGATACCCTGATTTGATGCACAGATTGAATTTTCAGAGGGATTAGAAGAGTGCCAGAGGTTGCTTTTACAGGGCCTACCACCGCACGCATAAAGGGTTACGAGTTGTTTCTTCTATGCTTGCTGTGATACCCTGAGCAAGACCTAAATTCCTGTTCGCTTTTTCTTAGAGCAGAGAGGAGCCTTCAGGGGAAGTAGAGGTGGCCGAGGCTGGGGAGCACGAGGAAATCGAAGTCGGGGAAGACTCTACTGAATCCCATCACATTCTTCAGCATTGTTGTGAGCTTAATAATATAAATTCTACTACTCATTGGATTGCCGGGGATGGCCCTTTAAAAGGACTGCTGCCTTCAGCTAAAAACTTAATGTTCTTTATACCTTTGTATGTATGATATACTTTTGTAACAGACCATGGTTGTGTCCGAGGTAAAACCACAGCGATATTTTTGGATGCTTTGTCCGCAATCTTGACTTGTTTTTGCAGTATCATTATTCAGACTTTCATCTTGTGAATCTTTTAAACATCGTGGTAGTTTGTTATTGAGAGCTATCCGAGTTGAAATGTAATGCAGTTCGGTCCAGTCCGTTTCTGGTATGCAGGTGATCAGTTTTGAAAGGTTATTGAGTTTTCTCTCCCTTATGTCTTTTTTTCACCCAACATATGGAGAAGATTAACAGTCAATCTTAAGGTTTTCTTTCTGTTTTCTTTTTTAAAGCTGCTAGGCAATGGTGCACATTTTTACCTAGTGTCATAAGAGCAAAATACCAGCTTTCTAAAATGTAGAAATTACATTACATTTTTAGGAGAAGGTAAGTTGCTTTGCACTGCGTATTTAACTCTTCTCCATATGTTGTGATAGAAATTTTTGAATACGGGATCTTACTATACAAATATAAATGTGTATGTATTACATACATACGTAAGCATATATGTGTGTATGTATATATGCATGCTGTAAAACTTGACTACACAACTTAAATCACTTTCTTAAATTCCAGGAACGGGTAGTCTGACACAGTGATTATCCTTTTGAGGCAAAATCCATTATTAACTTGTTAAGTCAGTTTTCTTCCCAGTAGTGAGGAATTTTTAGTCAGTTGCACTTACATGATTATTATTTAAAGATAAACAAAAGGCTACATTTTCAAAAATAAATTCAGAGAGCCCTGTTGGAGAAACAGCCAAAATATTGCATCTGATGTACATATAGGTTTCTACAGGACAAGATAAAATAATTTAGAATTTGAGGATTTAATAACCAGGGCAACTTGGAAAAGGTGATGACATGGTGTACCAGTGAGTAAGGGATGCTCTCTTGATTTGCTTTTGCCACTTACAAGATTTTTTAACTTCTCAGGTTATTAATCAAAATTATTATATAAGTTAGCTAATAGAAACTTTAGGTTAAAACAACAGATGGGGGGTTTGTGGAGTGGTGAATGTCATGGGCATTTTTTAGTAGCATAGACTCTTTGCATTTGAATGTTTCTTATATTCTGTTGTTTCTGTTCATCTTTCCTTTCCATGTTCACTATTCACATCCAATGCCTGGATGATGTTTTGTAGTAGTTTGACTTATTGTTTTTGAGGAATAGTTTGTAAATGTACTGCAGGTGTCTTCCTTACTGTTAACCTCTGCATTGGGGAAAAGAACAAAACCCCTTTGTTAGAATTACTGCACATTTTAATAGGAAAAATATTTTTTTTAAGATTAAAATGATACAAGTGAGCAAAGGAAGTTGGTCAGCTTGCCTATGGAGTGATGGCAATAATCTGTGAACATTCCAAAAGACTATGAGCTGAACCTAAGCTCCCTTGGACTCTGAATAGACATAGGAACGTGGAATTCCATTTGACAATTGTGACCAGGTAGTCTAGACCTTGAAGGTAGATCAGCCAGTGGCCTCAAGCCATTTCAAGTACAAAAACTAGATGCGAACTAGTTATATAAATTTGAACATTAACTGTAACTTTTTTTTTATTTTAAACTTATTTGTAAACTCAAAGGTGAGCAGAAGTGACTTTGCTTTCTCAAGTTTGATGCTGAGTTGTCTGTGTTCCTTTACCACCTCACTGTTCCCTTTCCTAAGGCAATAATGCACAACCTGGGTTATTTTTGCTTACTGTTTTTGAATGAAAAACCCATGCCATGGATTTGTTTTGTTCTGTTTTGCAAGACACCTGTTTATCACCTTGTTCAAATGTAAATGTTCCCTTATGCTTTTGAAATAAATTTCCTTTTATAATTTTGGTTTTGCGTCTTAATGTGTTTATAATTCTGGTAACCGAAGATTGTTGGATGTTGTTGATTGCTTCTCAGATGCCAGGCAGTGTGTTTTAGGGTATGGACGTTTAAAAGAAGACAGTGACATTGCTTTGCCTTCAGGACTTTCAGGCTACAAGCTGTTACCCGTGGGATTTATTCCCAGGAACTAGTACATGCTGCTGATGAATTTGTTAATAACAGCAACACATATTTGCCAAGCATTATAAAATACATAATTCTGTCCTTGGAAAGCAAGTTGGGATTTCCTACCAGCCTTTATAAAAAGCCTGTCCATATGAGGCACCAATGATGTTTTTATTCTCTTTTTCAAAATATACCTAAGATTTTCCATTATTGTCTTTCGGAGAAGTATCATTCCACAGTGCTCAGGTCTTCCTCCTGGCTCTGTTCTCAGGAGTCATTCCTGGTGGTGTTGGGAGACTGTGGTGCCAGAGAACGAACCAAGGTCCATCATGTGTAAGAGAAGCTACCCACTGTTCTATCTCTCCAGCTCATGTAGAAGTGTTTTAAAGCCATGAGTTAAATGGGTTAAATTAGGCTGGAGCGATTGCACAGCGGGTAGGGCGTTTGCCTTGAAAGTGGCCGACCCCATCGACCTGAGTTCGATTCTTCCGCCCGTCGGAGAGCCCGGCAAGCTACCGAGAACAGTTAACAAGTCTCACAATGTTACTGGGCCACTCGGGCAAATCGATGAACAAGAGAAGGACGATGATAATGACAGGGTTAAATGGATCAGGACTTGGATAACATCCAGTCCTGTGTATGCCACCTATGTTGAGGATTCCCACATGTCTCTCCCCAGGAATTTGACATTAACTTCCAATTATGGTCTCCTTGCTTAGACTTGATCATCTGCAGTCTGTTCTAAACACAGCAGGAAAGTGGGGCTCTCTGGGCTAGAGCAATAGTACAGTAGGTAGCATGTTTGCCTTGCGGCTGACCAACCCAGGTTCCATCCCCAGCATCCCCAGTATGGTCCCCCGAGCTCCACCAGGATTGATCCCTGGACACTGCAAGTTGTGCCCCCTCCAAAAAAAAAAAATGTAAAACATTTTTTAAGTTCTTAGCTGCTTCTTTCCCCACACTCCCGCCCTTCAGTTGGTTTCATGTCTGTGACAGACATTAAGTAGTGAGCCACTCATGAACTGTAGAACTCCATCTCCTTTAAACCCTCAGATTACATCCTCTGCTTTCTGCCTTGTCAAGTCTCCACACAGTGCTGTTTTCTGAATCATTTGCCAACTTCAAACATACTCTGAAATTTCTGCTTACTGTCTCTCTCTGCTAGAATGTAATGCAGCTAAAATGTCCCACAGGCCTACAGAGCTGTGTGAAGGGGTTTCCAAGCGCCTGACCTGCCAAGCGCCTGACCCTAACACAGCAGGACCTGAGTGACCAGCCTCACATTCTCAGGTCCAAGAATTAAACTACAGACACCCCCGTTGGCCTGGATTCATCAAGAGCACCACTTGGGAGGCCCCAAAATAAAATGCCAGAAAGATTAAGCATTTGTTGCAGTTTGCTCTCAACCCCAATTTCTATTGCGTGGTACTTAGTAAAGTTCACTTAAAATAGTCGAATGTAGTGTTCTAGGATCCAGAGCAGAGGTTCTCAAAACTTACGTGACTTATTACTCAAGAAAAAATCATTCCTTGGCATCCCACTGAAATAAGCAACAAAAGAGAGACCTCTCCCTTGCACAGAAGTTGGCTCTGGCCTGCATAAAGCCTGGGAGTGTGGTCAGAGATGTATCACCCAGCAAAGACTGTTTTAGAGATCATCCAGAAGACAACAAGCTACCAAATTTCACTCATAAGCAACACCATAATCAATGGGTCAAAGGTATTTTGGAGTTTTAAGTATCAAAATATGGTTACATATCCCACTTTTTTACACAGACCTCACCCCCCACAACCTCCACATTGGCAAAAATCTGCAACCATCATACAGTGAGACAGAGTAGGCACTCGGCAGTTTATGCTCCATGGTGCAGAGCCTGGTAAACTTGATTTCAGACAGAGCAGTAGTGTCAAGAGGACACTGAAGCATTCAGGTGGGATCTATTTGATAGCAAGAAATGGAAGGACAGAAAAGACCTTGAGGGGCTGGAGCAATAGGACAGGGCGGAAGGTGCTTGCCTTGCTCACAGCTCACTTGGGTTTGATCCCCAGCAACCATATGGTCCCCCAGGTACCACCAAGAGTGACTGCTGAGTGCAGAGCCAAGAGTAATCCCTTCACATCAGTGGGTGTGACCCCAAAACAAAAAGTTTGAGTTAATTTGGGCTGAGTCCTGGATGGTAAGGAGCCAGCCAAGCAAAGACCTCAAGAAGCATTTGAAAACCTACCCAAAAAAAAATTTGCAGGCTTTCGGGGCTTCATGGGATGGGGGCAGAGCCAGCCCTTCCCTCCGCCCCCATGAGACCCCAAGTTGCCACCCACTGGCTGCTGATCGAGCTGCTTATAGGCCATGTCCCAGAAACTCAGAAACAAAGGTCCGAACACAGCAGCTTTTGGCAGAAATCCTTCAGGTTTAATTAATAAAACTTCAGAATTCCGGGGCTGGAGCAATAGCACAGCGGGTAGGACGTTTGCCTTGCACACAGCCGACCCGGGTTCGATTCCCAGCATCCCATATGGTACCCCGAGCACTGCCATGAATGATTCCTGAGTGCAAAGCCCAGGAGTAACAACTGAGCATTGCCGGGTGTGATCCAAAAAGCCAAAAAGAAAAAAAAAATTCCAAAATTGCACGGTCACTATTGCAGCCGCACATCATCATGCAACTCACAATCAGCAATAGAAAACAAATTGTCTAATGTTGCCTTTTCAGCAGATTGAGTGCTGGGGCAAAATCCCAAATAATAATGGTGGGTTTGATGTCGAAATACTGAGTGTAATCAAAGTAGAGAGAGAGTAACATGGAAGTTGTCTGCCACACAGGTGGGGGGAGGGTGTGGGGTGGAGGGGATACTGGGGTTTTGGGTGGTGGAAAATGTGCACTGGTGAAGGGTCAGGTGTTTCATCATTGTATAACCGAGACTTAAACTGAAAACTTTGTAACTGCTCTCAGGTGTTTCAATAAAAATAAATAAATAAAAACATGCTCCTTGATAATACAAAAAACTTGCAGGCTTTAAGAATGTGCTGAAGAGTGAGCTCTTAGCTTCTTTTTTTCTTTTTCTAGTGTTTTTATGTATTAAGACACCCTCAAGGTTGGAGTGATAGCACAGCAGGTAGGGTGTTTGTCTTGCACGCAGCCGAGAGTATCCCACCTGCACAGCAGTCTGGCAAGTTCCCCATGGCTTACTCGATATGCCAAAAACAGTAACAAGTCTCATAATGGAGACATTAACTGGTGCCCGCTCGAGCAAATCGATGAACAACAGGACAGTGCTCCAGTGCTAAGACACCATGATTCATAGTTTCAGACATTCTAATACCACTCCCACCACCAGTGTCAACTTCCTTCCACCTGTGTCCCCAGCCTCTAGCCTGCCTCCTTCAGAAGCAGAACTGTAAGTTTGATTGTTGTAGTTTGGTTTTCATTTTTCCAGGATTGAGTTCAATATCTTCTAAGTCTTGGGTCTGAAAATTACATTCCTCCTGCACTACGACCCACGGCTGTCGGGAACTTTCCAATCCCAGCGCATCATTTTTTATGGTTTGTGTTCATTGAGCATTGTTCTCTGATTCCTCCCATGCTTCTGCTGACTTATCCTTCAAGTGAGACCTAGGCAACCTGTGAGGTTTAGGACCCCCAACCGGTGTTCTCTCGGCTTACTGTCCCCCACACTCCCCAAACACAGACCCCAGGCCCCATAGTTTGGAAAGTAAATCAGTTCTACGCTAGGTGGGCAGAAAACAGGAGGGGAACTAAAACAGACTGAACTGAAATCTATCAAGAAAAAAAAAACTGGATATTGACCCCTAGAAATAGATTTGGTCCAAAAGCAAAACCAAAAAATGCAGTCACAAGAAAATCCAGTAAAACTGGTCATCATAAAAATTTGATTTTAGAAGCAGATCTGAGACAGGCTAGAGAGACAATATCTACCTTCAGGTTCAGTTTGTATTTCTCAAGAAAGATAAGTAGATGGGCCACAAAGAGTACAGTGGGGAAGGTGCGTACCTTGCACCTGGCCAACCCAGGTTCAGTCCCCATCACCACATATACACATATGGTCCCCCTGAGCCCTACTAGCAATGAGAGAAGGAAGAAAACGAAGAAAAGAGAGGGGGCAGGTCAGAGAGAGTAAGGAACTGCTTTGGGCTGACCTGGGTTCAGTCCCCAGCACCCCATATGGTCTCCCAAGCCCCACCAGGAGTGATCCCTGAACTCAGAGACAGGAGTAAGTCCTGAGCACCACAAGGTCTTGCTCCAAAACTAAAAAAGTAAAAACAAAAAGATCAGTAAAGAAGGAACAAAGAAATGAAAGATCGGAATGGTAGTTCTAGAAGAAAAACAAATCTAGTGATAAATAAGCTCAAAACACTCAAACTCCTGAAATTTTTGTCTAAACTTGGATCTGATCATAAAAATCAGGATATTAAAATGGGTGTTCATAAGAAAGCAAACATGGGTGTTCATGACATTAGCTACTTAAAGAATGTTCATAATTTACTCTATAGGAAATGCCCTCCCCAGTGTTTAAACAGCTGTAAGGGCTGGATAAATGAACAGCTGATAAGTCTGTTAGGACACTTGGTCTTATTCACAGTAGTCCTAGTGCTTCCGACTGACCTCCTAGTGAAAGAATTATTTTCACTAATTCTAAGTGAAAATAATCTCTTTAAATATAAAAATCTCATCTCTGAAAATCCTCTTCACTTTGTACCCTAATGCTGGGGAATTCCACTCATACAGAACCTCCCTAACGTGCCTCCCTCCCATACTCATCGATTTTAAAATGCTTTTTCAGTTGGAGTTAGAGCCGGTAAGCTGCTTGCCTTGCAATGGGCCAC